CACACACACACACACACACACACACACACACACACGCACGCACGCGCGCACACACACACACCCACAGACACACGCACGCATGCACGCACACACGTGCACGCGCGCACACACACACACACACATACACACACACACTCTGTGACATTCGCACGCTTCACCACATCAGCAAAATTTGATTGAATCTTCCACTAAAACGTGAAACTATACACTTCCAAAGACTCAAAATGTGGCAGTGTATATTTCCGTCAGATTCATTCCCATTTTGACTGGAAAACTCTCTCTCTCTCTCTCTCTCTCTCTCTCTCTCTCTATCTCTCTCTCTCTCTCCAGCTCCTTTGTCCATGTTCACACAAGGATTTATTTTCAATGTATTTGACAGCAGTTACGGCCATGCTGACGCTGGGACCTTTTGAGGCATACTCACACTAGGACTTCCGACAACTTAGGGCACACTTACACTAACTATCCTTACGACATACTGACATTGGGACCCTCTGGGACATACATTCGGACTTCGGGTAACTTAGGCCACACTCAAACACTAACTATCGTTAAGCCATACTGACACTGGCACCTTTTGGGACATATGTTGGCACTTGCGGCGACTCGGGACAGTCAACTCGTTTTTGAATAGGTCTCATTGGTACTACGCAATAGTTCAATGCATCTGAATGCAATCACGGCCTGGCCTTTGTAGAAAAGTCCTAAAGCTGGTACTCCCTTGCTTCCCCGTGGCTGTTTTTTCTTTTTTTCCTTTTTTCTCCATATGGTCGGGGCATTTATGGGCTGTTCTTTTTTGTGTTTTTGGCGCTTTTTTTGCTTTTGGAGGGCCGGTGGTGCCGCAGGGTCACATGCTTGCACCCCGCCTGCCATGGCATTGCCCCGGCATGTTAGCGACATGTATATACCTATATATCGTCAAATAGAACTGCCCGGTAAACCGTAGGCAGAGAGGGAGAAGAGGACAACAAACGAGGGGCTGTGACAAACTGTTTCGTCGGAGTTTCACCGACTCATCAGGAGGCTATATATATGTATATCTATTAAAGGAAGGATAGGGCCCCTAAGACGCTTCCCTGGGCGCAGGGAAAACGAGGCCCACGCATCGGTTGGATGAGACACGCCTAGTGCCCCGTTTCGTATGGCTGTTTTTCGGGGGCGGGCGGGCCCATGTACATTTTTTTTTCCCGGGGCACTTGGTACAGTTGGTCTTGGCACGACTTTAAACCACCAGTACTTGGCCCATAAATCGATCGCGGGCCTTCCCAATTAACGAGGCGACATCCCAGGGGATGGTCGACCAAGGGAAGGCTCAGTCGGTGCTTGAAGGTCGGGCGCCACCTTTCTTTTTTTTTATACAAGAAAATCACTTTATTAAACCAAAAATGAGGCCAGGAATTCCTCAACAAACAACTCGGAATAGAAGAAGGAAATTATGGGACCATTACCCAGCTTAGGTTCACGCGTTGGGAGAAACTATCCACGGACAGAAATGGCCAAATCCATACCACTGTCCTGGTATCTCCCCAACCCTAGAAGAAAAAAAAACGAAACCTGCCAACATGGCCTACAAAGCCTCACAATCCCAAAATTTCAAGAGTCGTTGTTGTTGTTGTCGTTGTTGTTGTCAAAGAAATCAGAAAAACAATCAATGCCAACATGGCCTGCAACTCCAAACAAACCCAATAGTCTCGAGCACTCCTGAAACGGAGCTGAACCAAGCTACAACCTATAAACCAACATTTGCCCTACATTAACCCCAATTAAACGAACAAACCAATAGACCATGTCTAGACATGTTCAATATCCAAGCTTAACTACTACGTTCCAACCTATTTTCCCCTAACACGAGCAATGGGATAGAGTAGGTCCCTACCACCAGTTCTCACTCCCACCACGTCTTCCCTCTGCCCGTCTCCCTGCAACCGAAACAGCAACCGAGTGAGCTGGTTGTTCCAATCATACTAACATTCCAAAAACTAACCACCACCACCCCAACATAGAAGAGGGGGGGGGGAAGGAGAAGGGAGGAGGGTATCTGTTGTTACTGGCTCAATCTTGAAACAGCCTGGAGTCCAAGCACAGTTGGTTGCCTTCTTCTACCCTACAAAGTTCGCCATTTATGGCCCAGGTCTATTTGAACCAGTGAATCCCTGCCTCAGAGTTCTGTACAAATGTTACCTTCCGTCTCCAGTCCGCTTGAATGGCACGTCTGAGGTGGAGCTTGAAAGACTGGCGAATTTGTTTGTTGGACCAGTCTTTGTTATCTATCAACGATCCGGTCATTCCTGCCCTGCCAAATTACAGCGAAACACACTGCTCAAGCAGACTGGGAAACATAGACCCAGCCTTTGGGGATTGGGACGTTCACTGGAAGGCCACCCAAAAGAGACCATTCTTTAGTCCATGGAAAAAAGCTGCTGGAGAATATGAGCTGAAGCAGGACAATCCCACCATAAGTGTACTGTGGACTCAAAAGCCCATTGGCACCGTATGCAAGTGAGGTTTATCTCCATTCCTCTTTCTGCTAACCACGCCGCTGATGGGGTTGAGACGAGTGACACCAGCCAGAGTAACGAAGCATGCCTTTGACTTGCGATTAATTTGAGTTGTTTCCAGCATACAGACAATGCTCTATCGATCTCTTCCGAATCAATGTGTAGGAGTTGCATCCATCTTTTGCGAGCCACTACTTGTGGCTATTTCAAAGGGCGACTTACGGCATAACCAATTTTAATTGAGTAATCCGCTAGAGTAGCATTGGTCCCCCTGGTCCCTTTTACTGTCCATTCCCACTGGGTCGGATCCAGTTTTGGACGAAAGATGGGAGTACCCCTACCTATGGTTTGACAGAAGTTCGAGTCCTCTGGTGAGGGCGTTTCAAGGACACGTATATGTTGCATGACTGACCCCACTAGGGGGGGGGGGGTGTCTTCGTCTAGCATCAGCAACCTTACTTGCTGAACATCCCAACATTCAAATCTTGTTCGGGGTCTGACTGGGCAATGGTGAACTATGTACCCGGAGGGTCTACCCCTTTAGAGGAGATTAGTTGTTTCCACCGGATAGCTTCAATAATGGCGTGTTTCCTGCCTTCTTGATACCATGTTTGGCGCGATTGGAGGCATAACTCCTCCTCAGTTTTCCAACTACCCAAGATTGGATTCCACAAGTCCTGAATCCTAAGAATTCCCCTTTCTATGCAGGTACGGCCAAAACTTGTTGGGGATGAGTCTGCCTTGAACAATTCCCCAGCAGAGTCTCTAATTCTTGGATTTTCGAATAGAGATTGCATCATTACTTCGTCCTTCGTACGAGGTTCATTCCATACGTTTGGTCTGATTTTTTTCCAAGCATATATAATCGCTGACGGAAACGAAGACTTGATGTGTCTGCGCTGATATGAATATAACAGCAAGCACGTCCACACATCTTCCGGTCTTAATAGGTTCCATTCATTAGCCAAGATTCTTTCAGCCAGATATACCCAATGGAGAGGGGAGTAAGAAGGATAGCCCGAATAATCCAGAGCACTAACATTGCACAATTCTGCCTCAGCAGGTCCAGCATTTCAAGGCCTCCTTCACTGCGAGGGAGGCATAGCAGTTCCCAAGCAACTTTTCAAATAAATGTGTCCCCTTCTTCAGAGAAGGGCTTCCAAATAAACTTAGCGGCCCTTCGTCTAGATAAGATAAACAATTGAGGTCCTAGACCTCGCACTCTCCCTACGTACCACAATAATGCGAATAGGGCACCATTGACAACCATGGCCCTTCCGTAGATTGATAGGTGCGCTTGCCTCAAGATACCATCCTTTGCGTAATCTTTTGCTGTAAAATCCCATCTTGGGCTTCCATGCAACTCGATAAAGGCTATCTGCACTCCCAAGAAACGTTCTGATTCATCTGCCCCGATACGCTTCATACCCCATTCCACAACTAGCGAGAATTGTGTTGGCACGAAAAAAAATGACTTATGCCAATTGATAGCAGCTTCAGGGAAAGAAGCATACTCGTCTAGGCAGCATTTCAAGGCACCTAATGACTGGGAAGTGCTTTGCACTTACCGCAAGTCATCAGCCAAGGCTTTCACTTTGTATGGAGAAAGAAGCATACTCGTCTAGGCAGCATTTCAGGGCACCTAATAACTGGGAAGTGCTTTGCACTTACCGCAAACCACGTCCTGTAGACCTACTATCTGCACATGTGCACGAATGTTGTTGAGGACTCCTTCCATTTGAACAGCAAACAGAAGTGGTGCCAGTGGACAGCCCTAGCACAGAGATCTGGTGAGAGGGAAGTCGTGAGACAGGCGACCGTTAATCATGACTGCAGCAGTGGACAGAGTATATAAGGCCAACACCCAGGCGCAAAAGTTTTGTCTGAAGCCCATCCAATCAAGAGTTGTGAGGACATACAACAAGGGTTTCAATTGCCGTAACAATGTTGTCAACAATTGAGCGTCCTCTGATGAAGGTTGCTTGGTGGGACTACACTACGTTTGGAAGGTAGAGTCCCAATCGTCTCGCCAAGTCTTTAGCCAATATGACACATTAAGAATGGAAATGGTGCGCCACTTTCGAATTTCGATTTTGTCACCCTTCTTAAAGAGGACTGAGATTATACCCCGACACATGTTAACAGCTAGCCTCCCACCCCATAGTACCTCATTATAGATCCCCACCAATTTATCCCCTACCACATCCCACATGGACAAGTAGAGTTCGGTTGGAAGACCGTCATCCCCTGGTGCTTTACCGGCTGCCATCGCCTTAAGCATCTCATGGGCTTCAGTGGTTGTGACAGGGCGATCGAGGTCTAGCTTTCCAGCCAGCGAGAGTGTGGCCTCTATTTATCCAATGTTGTGAGTCCTTATGGAGGTCAGTTCTAGTGTTGGCTCCCTGTGTTCTGGAGGTCAAACATCCCTACAATATAGCGCTACGTAATTGCAGAGTTACGTTAATTCTTTTGCTATCGGAGCGACCTCATCAAACGGATGGTTAAGTTCTTTCATCGGAACTATAGATCTTCTTGGAAGCAATTTATAGAAGGTTTCCTTTGTCATGCGGTCATATACCGCAATACCTTTGATTTGCAGACGATCTGCCCAAATTTTCGACTGTTTACATTGCAACTCATCCCATTCAGCCAACAACCTGTTTCTTTCTTTACCCCACACCTTCTCTAAGACCGGGTGTTCAAGCATCCTAGACTCTGCACATGTTATTCGTTTCTGCAATTCTGCCGCTTTTCTGTTGCGCTTGAAAGCAAGCGGCCGTGAAATAACGTTTAACAGGTTGGAGAAAATCCGTGAGCCAAAGTTCCACCATTTTGCGGTAGACTCGTAGTCCCCTCGTGCTTTCTCCCAGTCCTTCCATGATTGTTTCATCCAAGTTATAAGACCTGATTCTTTCAGATTTTCGATATTAAATCGAAACAGTCCTTTTCCTCGCAAGGCTTCCGAAGTATGAAGAGAGATGATCACAGGTTTATGATCCGAGAGATAGTGAGCTGATTCATGCACTTTGTCCATAGATTGCCATAGCGTAGAGGAAATCGAAAAATAATCGAGTCTACGTTTAGTGATACCAGTATTCTCATTGTAGTGAGAAAACCATGTATAGCCCGGAGAGTCTGGATATGATAAGCGAAAGGGATCAATTACCTCTAATTCGTACATAGCCAAGGTAAGTGACATTTTATCTCTGATTCTTCTGCCCTAGGCATCATCTAACGAGGTATTCCAATCGCCCGCAAGGACCAGATTATCTGCTTCTAGAATAATTAATAGCAAGTCCTGGAAAAAATACGCACGAAGATTCTCCTCCGTTGGAGCATAGATTGATGCAAAAAAACAACATGAACCGTCTACAAAGCATTTCACCCAAGACCACCGTCCAATTTCTAACTCTGCTTTCCTATGGATCAGGATCGCGGTGCCACCTCTCAATCCAATCGCACGGGCCCATAATTGACAGCCATCCCACCAATTGGATAAACCTGAATTTTTTTCCTTAGAAAGTTTCGTTTCTTGGAAGCACATTATTTAAATATTTTTGTCATACATCCACGATTACAGGCTATCCCTTTTGTGGCGACCTGCTCCATCTCCCAACCCCCATTACATTCCACGAACCAGTTCTAACTTTGCCCATTCACACCCAAGCCCCCGGAAGCAAGTTGGATGTGCGGAAAGCCCAAAGGGTTCGAGGGAGGCTGGGTAGGTAACCTAGAAGCGGTAAGCATTGATCTGACATACGGGGAGAGCAGTTTCTTGTCGTTCAAGAGTTTGCCATCAACTTCAGCTAAGCGTTCAGCAGATTGCAAAGGAGGCATTTTCAATCTTCGTAGTTCGATTCTTCAAGATTCCCCAAACCAGGACAGTGGGAGGAGACGAATACCTTTTCTTCAATTTTTTTCACCTCACCAACCACAAATCTTGCGTCCATAATTGGTACAAAAAATTTTAGTCGTTTCCCACCACCTTCCGGACTCTGAACGATTAGTCTGGGCATTGACATATCTGGGATGATGCGAAAGAGAAAGCGGTCTTGAATGGCTGTTCTAACCAGTGTGACTAGCGCAGATGGCATAGGTTGTTTGGGGCCAGGGATACTTACCATCTTCAGCGAGCCATCCGTGGCTGGCCAAGCAAGAGCCCACAGAGAGTTTCCGGTGTAGGTGCGGAATAACGGCATGACTTTGTTCTCAACCAGTTGAAGTTGGCCTCTTGCAAGAGAGGTCGGGGCTCTCCTTTTCCCTAAGGAGCTTCCTGGTGTGCCCACCACTTTTACCCTTCCAGTAGAGTCTTGTGACCTCGGAAGTGAGGAGTCAGAGGCTTCCCCCCCTTCATTTAATCCGCTTGCAATGAAGCTCCCTTCCATGTTGAGCCGTTGTTGCTTTCCAGGAGTGTCTGAGCGTGGTCTCGGTGGAAACGTGTTGTCCTTGTGTAGGAGAGTTGAGTCCCTTCCTGGAACTGCTCCAAAGTCATTGTTGGCAAAAATGCCACCTATTGCCATTCCTGTCGGGGCTGCTCCATCTACCCTGCCAACGGCTCCTCATGTCGCTACTCCCCCACCCCCTCCCCTCTGAAGAGGATAAGAGGGGGTGGTCGGTTGATATCCCCCTATTTTTTATGCTTCGCCAGATGTTTCGTGTTGTTGATGTTGGGTCATAACAAACGAAGGGGGGATGTGCCCCCCCTGCTGGAAAGCTTGGTGTGCCATCCAGGGCATGAACGCATGACCCGCCCAGCTTGACATGCCATACTGAGGAAGAAAGGAGGGTTGCATCACTGGTTGACTTCCCCTCTGACCAACAGTTTGACCGCCAAGGCTAGCTTGATGGAGTGGAGAGAACGCTGGATTAAAATGAGAATTGACGTACGGTTGAACTCAAAATTGAGTGTTGGATGGTTCCATGTGAAGTGTTGCGAGTGAAGGAGAGAGTCCCAAAGGGCCCATTGGAACACGGTACGATTGATTAGTTGACGTCTGTTGATCTCCACTTCGTTCTGGTTGGTTACTCTGTTGTTGTTGTCTCGTCCCTCGCCGACATTCATTGTCCATATGAAAGAAGGCTCGGCATCGACGACACCTCGGGTTTTCCGAAGATGCCGGCTTAACTTCCAATTCATCGCCTTCCGGATTAACGACCCAAATTTTGTCCTTCATATAGGGACGAGATGTTGGGTCGATATCGAACTTGATGTTGACGAGTGACGACTTAAATCTGGTTCCGTTGGATGAGTTCGAATTATGGGGCCAATTGCCTTCGCCACTTGTGCCTCTAAGTAGAAGAGGGAGTCGAGTGGCACTTGGACCGCTATTACCCAAAAGGTAAGCTCGTCCTCTTCTCGACGTTGTTCTCGGGGTTGTGCCTTCGACATCCACGGTTTGAACTTCATCTTGTAGGTATCGAGGCCAATTGTGATGTCATCATGTCCCTTAGTAACCATCCAAGCCGCAATCGCCCTAGATTTCGCAACGCACAAGACCACATTTGGACTCTCCACCTTTACTCTCCCACGTCGAAAATTCTCCGCCTCTAGGCTTCCATCTTGGATCTTGTCATCTTCATAAGCACGTACGATATCATCTTTTACTTTCTTGGGAAGGAACCTCGCCCGTTCTCGAAAGATTACCGTCACAGTGTGTTCCTTCAGCCAAGTAATCTTCACTCTATCAATCCGCTCGTTGACTTTAAACCTTCTTCGTAGCATAAACACAGTGCGTCACCATGCAAGACAACGTTATGAGCTATTATGCTCCTATACTTGGACCTTAGCCGACTAGTCTCTATGACACCATCACCGATGTTCACCTTCACAGGTAAGCAACGGTGACCCTCCGAGCATGGCGGAAAGGGGTAAGGTCATAACAGTCGTGACGCCGTCACGATGGCGGCGCAAGCACAACTAACTCAGAAGCCCACGTTACCGGGGGCTTAGTGCTTGGTCCGAAACGCCGTAGCGCCGACAGAAGAGCTTCGGCCGGTCCCCCCGACAATCGAGATTATCTCGGGCGCCACCTTTCCTGGCATGTGACAGTCAAAAGGGATAAAAAAGAAAAATGAAAGAAACAAATACGAAAACAAAACAAAGAAAAAGCACATTCAAAAACAAAAACACGCAGGGGGGGGGCAGAGACACAAGCAGAGAGAGAGAGAAGTGCAAAAGGGATGCATCTTTCCTCGAAAGCAAGAAGATTCATTACCGCCACAGAGAGAGAGAGAGAGATGGCGACCTGCACGAGGGGCCGCAGCAAAGTTGTCGCCTCTCTCTCTCTCTCTCTCTCTGCGCGGCGCATTCAGAAAATCCAAAACGGGAATGAATCTTCCCACTTTTGCAGGGAAATTCATTCCCCCCTTTGCATTTTGGAACGTTGAAGGGGGAGGGGGGGGAAATGGGAGAGAGAGAGAGAGAAAGAAACTTGTCAAAAAAAAATGAAATCCATCTTAAATCCATTCCCGTTTCCCAAGTGGGAAACNCCTCTCCAGCTGGTGGTCTTCACAAAGGTGGATGTACATTTCCATGCATGCCTCACATCGTCCTCCTCTATTTCTGTCTACTTCTCTAGTTTGTGGTTGCTGTTTTCCCACATTTGCTTTAACTCTCTCTCTCTCTCTCTCTCTCTCTCTCTCTCTCTCTCTCTCTCTCTCTCTCTCTCTCTTTCTCTCTCTCCCTCCCTTATGGCCACTTTCTGAACATCTGGACAAGCATGCAGACAGTGCCGATGTCCAGGTCTGGATACCAGTGCAGAACGGTGTAGGGGTCGTACCCTGTAGGACTTTCGAGCCTCGGTCGACCCCACTGCGGGTCCCATTCGGCTCGACCCGCCCACGCTCACGCTCAGGGCGCGGATCGTTCGTCCCAGAGGCACCTCCACCTAGTGTATTGAGATGGATGGGGATGGGCCTTTTGCGAGAGGGCTTTACATTGGGGGATGTAGCTCCGCTCTCGCGTCAAGATGGTAGCTCTTTGAGCACTCGTGGCGTTTTCTCGCTTCAGTTAGGTCTGACCAGGCAATTGCTCCTTCCAATACGCAGGCAGTCCAAGGAGTTCATTGAAGTCTCATCTTCTTATCGTGCGCAGGCCAAGCGTCATCCATTGGGCCACGCACCTTTTCACTAAGCCTAGTGGCTCTGGGCAGCCCCGGCGGCATCCTTGGGGTAAAGCGGCGTCGCCGGACCCCTAACCGCTATATTTTTTTTGCGAGAGCCACTAGCATCGCATCACCTATACAATACCGCCCTTAGTCTTTCCAGGGGTCGCATTGCACAAGAGAGAGACATTCCATGCAAACTCCACACAAACCAAGTTCACGCATCAACCATCCACCCAAGCGCCCGGCCTCAACTCATCCCGCATCCATGGCTTAAACCGGATCCAAGTCCTTTCCTTAGCCAATCTCCCACCCTAGTCCTCATACGCGGGCCGAGCCCCATCCAAATCGTCCCTAGCTACTCACCTGCGCAAGACCACACAAGACAAATGACCAAGTACAATCCCCATTGGGGTCAACACATCGCCCCGTCCTGCAATCCTAAGTCGCCTTTGCCTTCCAATTCCCCTTATGAGTTCCCTTCCCTTTCCCTCAGGCGAGCCATGCGATCGCCTCAGTCATGCATTCCAGGAGGATGGTTGAGTCAAACTGACCTTGTTACAAAAACAACACTCCTTTCCGCTTTCTCCAATCTGCACAACAGTCTGGCGCTTTTCCTTCTTGGTGGCACAAGGGACCGGCTGCCCTCCCCTTGCCCTCGCTTTCCACCAAGTGAGGATCAAGTTTGTTACCGTTCGTCCCCTGGCAATGTAACAGGTGAGTGGAGACGTTAGTTACGCGCCATGGAGGGAAGGGGAGAGGGAAGAGGTAAGGGTTAAGGAGTTTGAAGGAATGGGAGAGAGAGAGAGAGAGAAAGAAACTTACCAAAAAAAAATGGAATCCATCTTAAATCGATTCCCATTTCCCAAGTGGGAAACACCCACGCGCAACATAACACACACACACACACAAATACATCGAGTTTACCGAAGCCTTCTGTGCAGGTCGTCGTCGTCTCTCTCTCTCTCTCTCTGGCCTTCCGTGCAAGTAGTGTGAGGCCGACTGCGAGGTCTCTCTCTCTCTGGCCTTTCGTGCAAGTAGTGTGAGGCCGACCGCGAGGTCGGAGATTTACCTGTTCTCTCTCTCTCTCTCTGTGTGTGTGTGTGTGTGTGTGTGTGTGTGTGTGTGTGTGTGTGTGTGTGTGCGTGCGTGAGTGTGTGTATGGCCTTCATATGTTTCAAGTTACGGAATAGCATTGCCAAATTTCTAACCATCCTTTGAAACCACCACTACCTCCGAGGCCACACCGAGTTTGTGTCACTATACATCTAGGCCACAGCAGGTTCAGCACACCAGGTCCAAGGGGGGTGCTGGGAAGAGGGCATAAAATTTGAGTGCCTAAACTTTGGCACTTCATTCTCTTCACGTTTGAGAAAAAATTGAAAAGAAACCTCGGATATAGGGTAGGTTCTACTGTGTTGGAGAAAACCACTATGAAAACAAGAAAATTCAATTTTGCCACCAAAATAAGCTTTGTCACAAGTTGAATGTGTGTCTTTGCCCTCCCTTGCTGTAAGCTGGTTCTCCTCACCACTCCGGAAGGGGAAGCCCCTGTTGGTGTAAGCACCAGGTTCAAGAGAATAGGTTCGAGGATGTGGTGGGAAGGCCAAGGTCGGTGTGAACACTAGGTCCTACAGAGTAGGTCCAGGGGTGGTGGTGGTGGTTCAAAGTTCCCCTACAACGAACCTGCTCACACCCAATGCCATAATTTTCCAAAATTGGCATGAAAAAGCTCGCAGATAGTAGAGGGTCAGCCCTAAGGCTCCTGATACAGGACCTGCTGAATGTGAAGTTAGTGTCAGCGAGCGTGAGCCCTAAGCCTCCCCTACAAGACCTCAGACGCATAAACCTCATCTTCTCGAACCTCTTCTCTCCGTCAAGCCCCTTCCCAAAGCCTCCAGTGAGTACAAGTTATCTAGAAAACATTATGTTCTATATGTGCCTTTTCGAGTGGGCCTGCTCCAAACCACGTGTTCCAAGTCATCACAGAAAAGCATGCAGTATTCTTCCCTTTTTCGGGGCGGGAGAGGGTTCATAAACCTCCTGCATCAAAAGATCCTGGCATTCCTTGCTAAACTGCATGCTATTCTGTTTGGAATGGGCATGCAATTGCTCCATACTTAGAGGCAGGTCTGTGCGCTTTCTGCTAAGCTGGAACAGAGCTGTGTGGTTTAAGGCTACCCATACTGCAGCACCTGCACACAAAGCTCCTCCTGCCCCAAAGAAATTTCCGCCAGCCTTTCTCCCAATGATGCCCTAGCTAAACATCTGCAGTAGTTTACTGCCATTTCTGCGAAACTGAGACAGAGCTGACTGCAGGTTAAACCTGTGCAAAAGGAGGGTTCTGCTAGCATCCAAGGCTCTCACCCCCAAGAGCTTTCTCCTAGACCACCTCCTGCAAATGACGTCCTACTCAGGCACCTGTCCACGTCCTATACCAGAACACGTCCATCCTTAAAACTTGCCACAGAATAGCACAGAGCCTCTGAAGATGCTAAGCCCACCGTCACACCCAGAAGCTCCTGCGACTGAGACGCTGGACACGCTCTACATGCTGTTTGCTGTGGGATCTGCACTACCCTGCACCACAGATTCAGGGACAGAATCATGCCAACTTCTACCCTCTTGGCTGAAGCATCATTGAGAGTCATCGGGTCCTTRAAGGACCAGTACATGGCCCCAGCCAAGTTGAGAATGGCTATTGAGCCTCTCCTAAAATTTAGGAGTCTCGGGAAGGGGCGCCCGAAGGACCAGAAGGAAACAAATTGTCCCATGCCATGGGTGGCACTAGGCCCAGCCCTGAACAACAACAAAAAATTATGCCTGCCTCCAAGCGAGCCCTGTCCTGCATACCCTAAGAGGCTCATTCGAATTCTCCTGATGAACTGCTGGTTTCCTACCACTACAAGTTCCAGCAACTCCTGCCTTCCAAGTTCTTGACGCTGAAATTGCCGCCAGGGAGGTCTCCACTATGCTCCTCTTTGCTAACCATGCCCTGAAGCTACTAGCTGTACAACACCCCGCAGAGTACCTAGCTACAAGACCAGCTGAAAGAAGCTCTGTCACGCATAAGGCAGAGCTTTGCACAGAAGAAGAGTACCTGCACAAACAATCAAAGTTTTTCTTCGAAGTGCAATTCTCCATCTCGTCAGACATTTACTCAGCAATAGTCCTCCAAACTGTCGTCAACACCACTATGCTATAGTAAACACATCGACTAGCCCGTTCATTCCTAAGCCAACTTTGAATATATGATTGCTCAGACCTTTCAGCAATCAGTGTATGACTGCTCAAACCTGCGGCGATCTGTTACCAAGATAATGCAGGGTTACGACAAGTTTTTTTTTTTTTGGGGGGGGGACAATTGCTCCAGTCTACGACAACTTAGTACTAAGCAGTGCTCAAACCTGCAGCCATTGTTGACAATTATACTAAGGGTTATGGCGACTTGTGAGTCTTGAACAGTAGACCAATCTTACGAAAAGACCGACAATCCACAGGGTGACAGGTCCGAAAACTTGAACCAGAATTTCCAAAGAAACTCCGACCAGAGCTGGGCCTATAATTGACAGTGCACATTTATAAAAATTTTGGACCATTTCTCGATTTATGCGTGTGATCCTTGCACAGCGGCCACGCTAATCTTCTGTGTATCGTTCCGATTTTAACGGATGTCCTGAAGGACGACACTG